CGATTCAAGGAAACCATCGTTAAAACGCCATGAAGTTTTCTTATCTCCCCTCATGATGGCGAGATAATGGAGTGATCTCCCCTTAACATCCGTGACTGGTTCTGGGGTTTAGCTCGGGTGTTAAATGTTGGGTCGGCAAGCGGATTTTGGGAACAGACGGATGTTAAATAATAGAACAACTTCTTGTAGCTTGTGTAATGCATTGTGGGATTTCTAACACAACTCTTCACAAAAGAGTATGGATTGTAAAACAAGATTTTAGCAACAAAAATCACGGATTCTGAAAATAGGCTGGGTTTTTTTTTATTATAGAATATCTAAGATACCTGTTTTTTTTTTTTTTAAATGTAATGTAAAAATAGTAAAATAAAAAAATAACAGTGAACTAAATGTGTGTGAATGTGTTCTAGAAATCCCCATCAACAGTTGGTTGTGTTGAGAGATGTATTGATGTTGGTAACTTGGTCTCTCGTAAGGTTTGAGTTGGTTGTGTTGAGAGATGTATTGATGTTGGTAACTTGACACTAGTCTCTCGTAAGGTTTGAGTTGGTTGTGTTGAGAGATGTATTGATGTTGGTAACTTGACACTAGTCTCTAGTAAGGTTTGAGTTGGTTGTGTTGAGAGATGTATTGATGTTGGTAACTTGACACTAGTCTCTCGTAAGGTTTGAGTTGGTTGTGTTGAGAGATGTATTGATGTTGGTAACTTGACACTAGTCTCTAGTAAGGTTTGAGTTGGTTGTGTTGAGAGATGTATTGATGTTGGTAACTTGACACTAGTCTCTCGTAAGGTTTGAGTTGGTTGTGTTGAGAGATGTATTGATGTTGGTAACTTGACACTAGTCTCTCGTAAGGTTTGAGTTGGTTGTGTTGAGAGATGTATTGATGTTGGTAACTTGACACTAGTCTCTCGTAAGGTTTGAGTTGGTTGTGTTGAGAGATGTATTGATGTTGGTAACTTGACACTAGTCTCTAGTAAGGTTTAAGTTGGTTGTGTTGAGAGATGTATTGATGTTGGTAACTTGACACTAGTCTCTCGTAAGGTTTGAGTTGGTTGTGTTGAGAGATGTATTGATGTTGGTAACTTGACACTAGTCTCTCGTAAGGTTTGAGTTGGTTGTGTTGAGAGATGTACTGATGTTGGTAACTTGACACTAGTCTCTCATAAGGTTTAAGTAAGTTGGTTGTGTTGAGAGATGTATTGATGTTGGTAACTTGACACTAGTCTCTAGTAAGGTTTAAGTTGGTTGTGTTGAGAGATGTATTGATGTTGGTAACTTGACACTAGTCTCTAGTAAGGTTTGAGTTGGTTGTGTTGAGAGATGTATTGATGTTGGTAACTTGGTCTCTCGTAAGGTTTGAGTTGGTTGTGTTGAGAGATGTATTGATGTTGGTAACTTGACACTAGTCTCTCGTAAGGTTTGATTTGGTTGTGTTGAGAGATGTATTGATGTTGGTAACTTGACACTAGTCTCTCGTAAGGTTTGAGTTGGTTGTGTTGAGAGATGTATTGATGTTGGTAACTTGGTCTCTCGTAAGGTTTGAGTTGGTTGTGTTGAGAGATGTATTGATGTTGGTAACTTGACACTAGTCTCTAGTAAGGTTTAAGTTGGTTGTGTTGAGAGATGTATTGATGTTGGTAACTTGACACTAGTCTCTCGTAAGGTTTGAGTTGGTTGTGTTGAGAGATGTATTGCTGTTGGTAACTTGACACTAGTCTCTAGTAAGGTTTAAGTTGGTTGTGTTGAGAGATGTATTGATGTTGGTAACTTGGTCTCTCGTAAGGTTTGAGTTGGTTGTGTGAGAGATGTATTGATGTTGGTAACTTGACACTAGTCTCTAGTAAGGTTTAAGTTGGTTGTGTTGAGAGATGTATTGATGTTGGTAACTTGACACTAGTCTCTAGTAAGGTTTGAGTTGGTTGTGTTGAGAGATGTATTGATGTTGGTAACTTGACACTAGTCTCTCGTAAGGTTTGAGTTGGTTGTGTTGAGAGATGTATTGATGTTGGTAACTTGACACTAGTCTCTAGTAAGGTTTAAGTTGGTTGTGTTGAGAGATGTATTGATGTTGGTAACTTGACACTAGTCTCTCGTAAGGTTTGAGTTGGTTGTGTTGAGAGATGTATTGATGTTGGTAACTTGACACTAGTCTCTCGTAAGGTTTGAGTTGGTTGTGTTGAGAGATGTATTGATGTTGGTAACTTGACACTAGTCTCTCGTAAGGTTTGAGTTGGTTGTGTTGAGAGATGTATTGATGTTGGTAACTTGACACTAGTCTCTCGTAAGGTTTGAGTTGGTTGTGTTGAGAGATGTACTGATGTTGGTAACTTGACACTAGTCTCTCATAAGGTTTAAGTAAGTTGGTTGTGTTGAGAGATGTATTGATGATGGTAACTTGGTCTCTCGTAAGGTTTGAGTTGGTTGTGTTGAGAGATGTATTGATGTTGGTAACTTGACACTAGTCTCTCGTAAGGTTTGAGTTGGTTGTGTTGAGAGATGTATTGATGTTGGTAACTTGGTCTCTCGTAAGGTGTGAGTTGGTTGTGTTGAGAGATGTATTGATGTTGGTAACTTGGTCTCTCGTAAGGTTTGAGTTGGTTGTGTTGAGAGATGTATTGATGTTGGTAACTTGGTCTCTCGTAAGGTTTGAGTTGGTTGTGTTGAGAGATGTATTGATGTTGGTAACTTGACACTAGTCTCTAGTAAGGTTTAAGTTGGTTGTGTTGAGAGATGTATTGATGTTGGTAACTTGACACTAGTCTCTCGTAAGGTTTGAGTTGGTTGTGTTGAGAGATGTATTGCTGTTGGTAACTTGACACTAGTCTCTAGTAAGGTTTAAGTTGGTTGTGTTGAGAGATGTATTGATGTTGGTAACTTGGTCTCTCGTAAGGTTTGAGTTGGTTGTGTGAGAGATGTATTGATGTTGGTAACTTGACACTAGTCTCTAGTAAGGTTTAAGTTGGTTGTGTTGAGAGATGTATTGATGTTGGTAACTTGACACTAGTCTCTAGTAAGGTTTGAGTTGGTTGTGTTGAGAGATGTATTGATGTTGGTAACTTGACACTAGTCTCTCGTAAGGTTTGAGTTGGTTGTGTTGAGAGATGTATTGATGTTGGTAACTTGACACTAGTCTCTCGTAAGGTTTAAGTTGGTTGTGTTGAGAGATGTATTGATGTTGGTAACTTGACACTAGTCTCTCGTAAGGTTTGAGTTGGTTGTGTTGAGAGATGTATTGATGTTGGTAACTTGACACTAGTCTCTAGTAAGGTTTAAGTTGGTTGTGTTGAGAGATGTATTGATGTTGGTAACTTGACACTAGTCTCTCGTAAGGTTTGAGTTGGTTGTGTTGAGAGATGTATTGATGTTGGTAACTTGACACTAGTCTCTCGTAAGGTTTGAGTTGGTTGTGTTGAGAGATGTATTGATGTTGGTAACTTGACACTAGTCTCTCGTAAGGTTTGAGTTGGTTGTGTTGAGAGATGTATTGATGTTGGTAACTTGACACTAGTCTCTCGTAAGGTTTGAGTTGGTTGTGTTGAGAGATGTATTGATGTTGGTAACTTGACACTAGTCTCTCGTAAGGTTTGAGTTGGTTGTGTTGAGAGATGTATTGATGTTGGTAACTTGGTCTCTCGTAAGGTTTGAGTTGGTTGTGTTGAGAGATGTATTGATGTTGGTAACTTGACACTAGTCTCTCGTAAGGTTTGAGTTGGTTGTGTTGAGAGATGTATTGATGTTGGTAACTTGACACTAGTCTCTCGTAAGGTTTGAGTTGGTTGTGTTGAGAGATGTATTGATGTTGGTAACTTGACACTAGTCTCTAGTAAGGTTTGAGTTGGTTGTGTTGAGAGATGTATTGATGTTGGTAACTTGACACTAGTCTCTAGTAAGGTTTGAGTTGGTTGTGTTGAGAGATGTATTGATGTTGGTAACTTGGTCTCTCGTAAGGTTTGAGTTGGTTGTGTTGAGAGATGTATTGATGTTGGTAACTTGACACTAGTCTCTAGTAAGGTTTAAGTTGGTTGTGTTGAGAGATGTATTGATGTTGGTAACTTGACACTAGTCTCTAGTAAGGTTTGAGTTGGTTGTGTTGAGAGATGTATTGATGTTGGTAACTTGACACTAGTCTCTAGTAAGGTTTAAGTTGGTTGTGTTGAGAGATGTATTGATGTTGGTAACTTGACACTAGTCTCTAGTAAGGTTTAAGTTGGTTGTGTTGAGAGATGTATTGATGTTGGTAACTTGACACTAGTCTCTCGTAAGGTTTGAGTTGGTTGTGTTGAGAGATGTATTGATGTTGGTAACTTGACACTAGTCTCTAGTAAGGTTTAAGTTGGTTGTGTTGAGAGATGTATTGATGTTGGTAACTTGACACTAGTCTCTCGTAAGGTTTGAGTTGGTTGTGTTGAGAGATGTATTGATGTTGGTAACTTGACACTAGTCTCTCGTAAGGTTTGAGTTGGTTGTGTTGAGAGATGTATTGATGTTGGTAACTTGACACTAGTCTCTCGTAAGGTTTGAGTTGGTTGTGTTGAGAGATGTATTGATGTTGGTAACTTGGTCTCTCGTAAGGTTTGAGTTGGTTGTGTTGAGAGATGTATTGATGTTGGTAACTTGACACTAGTCTCTAGTAAGGTTTAAGTTGGTTGTGTTGAGAGATGTATTGATGTTGGTAACTCGTAAGGTTTGAGACTAATATAATTTTGTTTACCTGGAAATAATGGTGGTCTAGTTACACCGCCTCTACGCTAGCTAAAACTAAATTGATCTGGTGCCCATGATAGTTCCCACAAGTTGTTTAGCTAGGGTCTGGGGTTTGAACCCAGTTGAACCAAAAATCAATGCCCAGACTAATGGCACACAATGGAGTCAACAGACAGTCAATGGGGGCACACACTTGAAGGTCCTTGTTGAAAACAAACAGAAGCTGCATATATTTTATATTGATTCACTTTTTTATTTAAAACTTTAAAACAAATTAAGAAAAATAATGACCATATTTACAGACACACAAAGCCTAGACTGATTGCACTGTGACCTAAGCCAATGGGAGAGGAGTTGATCAAGGACATAGCACAGTACAACAGCATCACACAACAAATGTGGCACACAGCACCACAACAGCACATGAGCAACATGTAACACAGCATTAAATAACACAAGCATGCTGTGTTTGAATTGGGGACTTGTGAAAGTGCAGTCTTGAACTAGTTGTTACTTCAGTACCACACTTGCCTTACTGCAGTAACAACTAGTTCAATAAAAATCAACATCTTTTCAATGTAAATCAACATCTTCTCAACAAAATTCAACATTTTTTCAACATGATTCAGCATCTTTTCAACTAAGGTTAACACCGTTTCAACTCTAATTACCATTTCAATCACAAGTATTATATCTAACCCTAAACAAATCATTGACATTTTTAAAAGTAAAATCAACAACCTTAAAATTCTACCAAGAAAATTAAAATCATTTCATCAAAATGAAAATTATGTAAATCATTTCATATCGAATTAACATGATTAAAGTAATTTACCACACAACCATTGTTTCAACTAAAATTAACATTACTTTTTTTACAATCAACATTAGTTCAACCACAATCAACATAATTTTCAACTAACCACCAATAACATCTTTAAATCATAAGCACTGTCATTTAACATAAAATTCTCAACATTTCTAGATTTCACTTCAAGTAATATTTGAACAAGCAAGATAAAACTTTATATCAAACCAAGACATTAGGATAAGACCAGATATTAGGATAAAGAGATATGATTAGAGAATATAGCCTAGGATTGCAGCATACAGACATCATGGAGAGGTCCATGGGTGGGGCCACATGACAGGTCTATGTTGTGGGTGGGGCTACATGACAGGTCTATGTTGTGGGTGGGGCCACATGACAGGTCAATGTGGGTGGGATACATGACAGGTCCATATTGTGGGTGGGGCTACATGACAGGTCCATAATGTGGGTGGGTCTACATGACAGGTCTATGTTTTGGGTGGGGCTACGTGACAGGTCCATGTTGTGGGTGGGGCCACATGACAGGTCCCTGGTGTGGGTGGAGCCACATGACAGGTCTATGTTTTGGGTGGGGCTACGTGACAGGTCCATGTTGTGGGTGGGGCCACATGAGAGATTTAAGTTGAGGGTGGGGCATAAGGCAGACCATGCACAATGTGATGTAGTTCAGCTGGCCACATAGCACCATAACTGATGTAATGCCATTATCACACAGCTTGCTCTAATACAGTCAACAACTTTAAATGCTGTGGGTTGAACAACATCTAAATAAAAAGATCTAAAAAAAAACTGCAGTCTAAATACCATGATTTGGTGGAAAAAAGTCTAAATACCATGATTTGGTGGAAAAAGTCTAAATACCAAGATTTACTGAAAATATCTGCTCTCTAATAAAAGAGATTTGGTCATAAAATTATTGTCTAAGTACCAGAATTTGGTGGAAAAATTTACAGTCAAAATTTACAGCCTGAAAAAAAAATCTGCTTTTGAAATACAAAGATGGTTAAAAATATGCAGTTAAAATTCCAAGATTTATTGATGAAATTGCAATCAAACTGCTCAGATCCTAAGAAAAATAGTTTTCGAACTATGACAACTAGCATTAATTCAAGTCCAGTAACTCAACACAATGAAGATAACTTTCTGAAAACATCTTTCAATTTAATTTTTATCTGCTTCATTCACAATGAAAAATTGGTTTTAAAACTGCATAATCTATTATTACATTGATTAAATGATCACATGTCCACTACAGTGTTTAATGAACATTGTTAGCTCATTGAACCAGACATACAGTAAGGCTTAAATATTTGGGATATAGAAATGTGAACAATCTATTTATAAATCACATAGTGTGAAAGAGCTATGAAGAATGTTATTTTAAAAACCATTTTGTTTAAACAATAAAACTTGCGCTGGCAGTTAACCAACTAGAAAATAAAAGAAGCACAACCAGAAAACATTTCCTCAAACTTTGTATATAAAAATCTTGAACTAATATCCTTATGAAATAAAACAGAACAAAAGATTTTAAAATTAAGGCACAAATACAGATCCTATAAGTCACATAATCATTGATCTACTCTACATGATCACCCAGCTCTGTCTTTTCAAGTCAAGTGGGGTGACTGTCTATGGGTGTATTCAAAGTCATGACTTCAAGTCATCTCAGGTAGTCAGATCCTTGACAGTGATGTGCTCACAGTGATGTGCTCACAGTGATGTGCTCACAGTGATGTGCTCACAGTGATGTGCTCTCAGTGATGTGCTCTCAGTGATGTGCTCACAGTGATGTGCTCACAGTGATGTGCTCACAGTGATGTGCTCACAGTGATGTGCTCACAGTGATGTTCTCACAGTGATGTGCTCACAGTGATGTGCTCACAGTGATGTGCTCACAGTGATGTGCTCACAGTGATGACATAAATACACATGAATGTTGCAGTCTAGACAAACAGCAAGACAAACAATACTATCACAATCTGTAGACAAAAGCTGTTTCAGCAACTACCATAGTTAGACCTACACTATTTGGTGATCAGGAAATGCATGACAATATTGTTGAAAGAAACATGAAGACATCACACCAAATCTCTCGATACAATACAAACCAAAATTGTAAAATAAGCATAGAAAAAGTTTAAATTCCTCCATTAAAGGACTTCAAAGCATCAACTTTGTACAATAAAAAAAGTTTAGACTAATCAAGTACTGGTCAAATTTGTACAATAAAAAAAGTTTAGACTAATCAAGTACTGGTCAAATTTGTACAATAAAAAAAAAAGTTTTCACTAATCAAGTACTGGTCAACTTTGTACAATAAAACAAGCTTGATCCAACATGATCCAGTACTACACAACAGACAAATTCTTTCCTTACAGCAACTGTCACAAGGGTTATATCAAGATATTTCAGACATATTCTCTAGTATTTCATACACACCCTCATGTTGACATTTGTATTTCATACCCATCAAGTCAACATTTGTATTTGATACACCCTCAAGTCAACATTTGTATTTGATACACCCTCAAGTCAACATTTGTGTCTGATACACCCTCAAGTCAACATTTGTATTTGATACACCCTCAAGTCAACATTTGTATTTCATACACCCTCAAGTCAACATTTGTATTTCATACACCTTCAAGTCAACATTTGTATTTGATACACCCTCAAGTCAACATTTGTATTTGATACACCCTCAAGTCAAAATTTGTATTTGATACACCCTCAAGTCAAAATTTGTATTTGATACACCCTCAAGTCAAAATTTGTATTTGATACACCCTCAAGTCAACATTTGTGTCTGATACACCCTCAAGTCAACATTTGTATTTAATACACCCTCAAGTCAACATTAGTATTTGATACACCCTCAAGTCAACATTCTGTATTTGATACACCCTCAAGTTAACATTTGTAATAAAAGCAATGTGAACCATTCTTAAACTTTGAGGAACAAAACCCTTTAGCAGAATAGAATATGGACTAGACAGTCAATTTGATGAAGATTTTATAACAATGGGACTAGAATAAGTAACTTTCATGAAGACCTTGTAACATTTAGTTAAAATAAGTAACTTAGGTGAAGAGTGTGTTACAATTAGTTATAATAAGTAACTTTGGTGAAGAGTGTGTTACAATTAGTTACAGCTCTGGCTGTGTATTTGTCAATAAATAAATGCACATTAAACATTGGTAGCTATCTCAAAACTCAATGACTTAAGTCATGTATTGAAGGGGCCTCTAATGACTAGAGCATTCCAGGATCGGTGGATTTTTAATCATACAATCTGGCTACAATAACAGATTAAAAGATTATTTATAAAAACATGCACCGCATCAATTAACTAAATTTTACAGTAACATTCATTGCAGTATTGTAAATGTAAAAATAGAAATGAAACAAGTGCGTTACAAGTTTGTTTGTTTTTCAACTGAGTGTACAGACATTCCATTTAAACAGTAAAAAATCTGGGATCTACAAACAACTGGAAGGTGTCAATGTAGATGAAAGTTTGCGCAGGTATGGAAGGGAGGTGTGACCTGTAAATGCCAGTTGGAGCATTGACCCGTTATAATTGTCTAATTTTTATTTTTATTTTGTTTCTAAACATTACTGAATTAAAAAAAACATTATCTAAATAATCACTATAAAAAATATTTCTAACCAAAATTATTACAAAAGCAAAAAATGTGTTTAAAATATTAATCTTTCCTCAGTTTTTAAAACTGTATTATAAAACCAACTTTCTTCAACATCAAATTATTGAAGCCAATACCCTAACATTTAATAAGCTCTACAAAACATGAATGGGAACAGATATTGCTTTCATTGCTTGGATGTATAAATGAGTATTTGTTCATGTTCAACATTGTGGACTAGAATAAAAAACTATATCTCACAAAACAAATTTCACATTCAATGCTAGTAGTTCTCACACTGAAAGGTGGATCAAAAAACACAATCATTGTACCCACTGAGTCTATTACATTATGCATTATCTGCACAATGGCATCACCACATTGCTACATGTTTTAGTGTCATTTTTATACTGTGACAACTAACATACAGTAACTTTCACAACTGATTAAACTTAGTAATTCTTTTATGAAAGAACATTAACATATGTAGTATTGCGGTTACATTTTTTATTTATAAAGTAATTCTTTTATGAAAGAACATTAACATATGTATTATTGTGGTTTGTTGTAATCATTCCCATGAAATAAAATGCTAAAAAAAAAAATAATATTGCAGTTACTACCAGATATGTAATAGAGTTTTTTTTTACTAAATCTACTAGTATATTAGCAAACATTCCGAAATGGATCAAGATGCTCAAAAAAGCAATAACTTCACAACAAAATCTCCACTTTAAAGCAGATCAAACATCCTGTTGAAGCCATCCTTGTAATTTGCAGGAGATGATTAGGGTTTGCCCCAATTAAGAAAACAAAAATATCTGATGTAGAAAATCAAAGTTGAAGCCAACAAATTTTTATTATTCCAAATCCTTCTATGGTTCAATAGATGTTTGAAGCAAGAATTACCATAAAAAACCATGCCATTTTAAATTATTTTAATTTGTACTGTGTCAAAGCTATTTTGCTCCAGACTAGGAAACTTAATTTTTCTTGAAAGTAACAACTATATATATACGACTGTCTACACTTACTTATCACCTAACTCAACTAGACGATGTATGATTCAGTATATAGATTAAACAGTAGATTAAACTATTTATAACTAGAACTATTTTGGTTGGAAAACACAGAAGTTTAAAATGTAATTCAATCTGCTAAAGTAAAGAAAATATATTTTGGCCACGATTATTTAATTTGTCCTGGACTCCAATGTAAAGGTTGGCTCTATCTAATCCAATGCATACTTTTGACAATGCTGGTAGCAAATCTATTTTTAAAACAACAAGAACTCGGAAAAAAAGCTAATAGAGAACGAGATCTTGACCTGAGATCAAGAAAATTAGATCAGGTCATTTTAAAAATATGAATCATAATTTGATAAGAATGCTTTTTGATTGAGAACAACAAATGCATAGTCATTTAAGATATAGATCTATCCAAGTTATATACACAACATGTGGAGCTTGCCGAATTTGTACAGGAAATAGAAAACTTAGTACACTTTACAAAACAACAGCATCTTCCATATCCAGGTCAGACGACAGCCTCTCGTACTGCATGATGACGTTTGGATCTCTCCGCGGCTCCTTCGGCTTCCTGCAGGCTACCACCAGTACGATGCCAACGCCCACTCCAGTAATGAATAAAAAAGTAGCAATCAAGCCAGTGACCAGTAGCTTGTCTGTCTTCTCAGAGCCTGGCTTCTGGAGAGTGTTGCCCACTGAGGGCGGCTTCTCATCCGTGGAATTGTCTTTAAGGCTGGCAGGTAAATTGGTGCCAGGTGGCAGAAAACACTGGCTCTGGTCACAGCAGCAGAGCTCTTCAACGGTCTTGTTGCCCACACTTGTCTGCTCAAACACAAACAATGCTCACAATTTAAAGCTCAGTTCAATACATTCATTTTTAAACAAACACAAACAATGCTCACAGTTTAAAGCTCAGTTCAATACATTCATTTTTAAACTTAGTCTAAAAACTAAAAAGGACCAGAAATTTGCATCATCGAAATTTACATTTTAAGTCTCATCGAGTTCAATGAAAATAAAAATTACCCTGCTATCAATGCATCTTTTGGGAGTATTGTTATCAATCCTGGTGTCAAATACATCTGCTAACATTTAAATATGTATGTGTAGGTAATAACCTGCTATAAACATGGATCTAAATACTTACATTGAAACAGGCCTTGAAAGCACCACTGGACATGGTCTCTAAGCAAAGCTTATCATTATCACAGAAATAGCTTTCTACTTTCCCTTCTGGGTGGAAGATGGTTTTTTTGGCACAAACAACATCAGGATGTAGACATGACTCCAGTTCACCTGCATAAATTATGTCAAATATTCTAACATTACAGACAACATCAGGATGTAGACATGACTCCAGTTCACCTGTATAAAATATGTCAAATATTCTAACATCACACTTACAGTAGACAACATCAGGATGAGTGATTATTTGTCTTTTATCTAATGCCCATGTCATGAAATAAAAAAGTATTTAATCTAATCTACAAGTTCACCTGAGATGTGGTCTGATCCATTCTTGACCCCATCAAAACAAACCCTGTTCTCTGCTGGCAAATGGGGGATCGCATCCAGCATGTTACAGTTGGAAGCGGCACAACAAAACAGCAGCCCTGTGTCGCTGCCTACAGTTACCTGCACACACGTTGGTTGCCATTGGTTACAAAAATATTTTTAGATTCATTTTTCAATGTTGTAATAAGTTAAGAATTAGGATTTTTTTTTTACTTACATTTGGTAAAACTTGGTCTAATTGTTTGTCTTTGCAAAACTCTTGAAAATCACAACCATACTCCACATGAATGGCCTCTTTCTTGACTTCATGACTTAACAGGGTTGTTGCGACAAAGCGAAAGATGTAGCAGTGGTGGCTGGCATTTGCTGTCAAGTTACTGACATCTGTCTCACCACTATCAGGACTGGAGTTTTTATACACGTGAAGTAAGTTTGATAAATGCTTTTCTCCAGTTACACATGATTGATTTTGAAACATGAGCTGATTGCTTATGTCATTGCCATAGTTACAATGTCCAGCACTAAAGACAGGCAAACTGTAAAAACAAATTTTAATTAGTTTGTATGAAAACAATTTAATAATTTTTTTAAGTAAGCTAAAACACAATTGCAGCTTTTTTATTTATAAACTTGAGAGAAAAAACGAACTGGTAACTAATGGAACAACACACGATATAACACAAATTGAACCCATCTTTCCACCCCATAGAACAATTTTAGACAAGCATGTACTATATTAAACAACAAATCAAAACCCCAGTTCCTCCACACAAAGTCACAAGGTATAAAATTTAGTTAGGAACATTTTTATCACACAACTTTTACTCTTAGTACTGAGTATTTTTTTAAATAACTGCTAGAGAATAATGAGAGTACCATGATATCAGCTGGCTAAAAATATTTTCAAACTTGTAAGTCATTTTTCTCAAAAGAAGTTTAACTTAATTTTCAAAATCTTTTCCATAGATTTCTCAGGTTTATATTTTTTATTTTTTTAGCTTACCATTGAGGTAACTGGTAAGCAGGTAAGGAACCTTAGTGCTCAAAACTTAACTGATTGTTCACTTTTTAATGCAGAGACTAATATGACTAACAAAAAGTTGCCACTTTTTCTGGCACAGAGGGCAGGGCATCCATTTCTGTCTGTAGCCTCACACATAGATAAGGAGATTTTGCAAGACTAGCCTTGAAAGCATCAATTTTACACACTGGTAATAATTTATGGTAGTTATGAGATGAGCTCGGTAAACCGCAATAATGCCATTTTATTATAATCTTGTTTGGTGAAAACGAGGCGCGGGAAAGTTTGGAAAGAATGTAAAGAAGTGAAGAGTCAGTGTAGTTTAGAGAAAGAAGAGGAACTTGCAGACACAGATGTCCACCTCAACAACAGGCTCTCACTGTTTCAATTGTCAACAGAAACAACTCCCACAGAACTTGTTTTAACAAACAATGTTAAAACATCAGAACTTATTTTAACAAACAATATTAAATGTACAACAGAAACAACTCCAATCAGAACTTATTCTAACAATGTTAAAAGTACAACAGACTTGACATTTTTCTCTTGACGCCTACACTCTGCCCTACAGATACACTACAGAGATAGTAATAGTACAGTGACTCACTCAAACTTCAAAAGACAAGTTTTAAGAAAACAATAACAAACATTTGTGATTTATGTATAGATCTAGAATCTAGATCCAGTTCCCTGCTAGAATCTATTTTCTAGCAAAGAAGCTAGCTACATACTACGTAAAGTACGTAGCTGTAGTTGTTAAAGTACGTAGCTGTAGTTATAGGCTTAAGTAGGTATCTATAATATAAGCGGCTAGGTAGTGTGCCAGTCCGTACTTCAGCACTTCTATCATACGGCATAGCCACTTTGTCTTTGTTGGTGTGTTAGAGTAAATTGAACGTTTAAATTTAAATGTATAGGGTGGGTTCTCCAGGGGCGCTAACACCATGATAAACAAACACGTTGTTTGTCAGCAGTTTAATTTAAATTTAATTAAATGTATTAAAATTATACTACTACAACTACAAGGAAGAAGAGAATGGAAATCTGGGCAGAAATCCGTGAGAGCAGCTATAATATTTGACACAATATTTATCACAATTTACTTCTATTAAAGTACTAACAATGAGGCAATTTTTTTTCACATTACAAGGTCTAGCCTCGGCCTATTTTACTGACCTAAAATTCCTAAAACGATAGATTACCGAGCCGAAAGCCAGGCGTACAGCAGAAAAATTAAATTTAAGATTAAGATAATTGAGAATTGAGTCATTGATCGTGGAGTGGAGACGATGTAAGAAAAACTCTAAATTTTAAAAAATGTAAATAGCACTTTTAATCGTAAAAAGTACCTACATAAATGAGCAAAAAAGAATGATCCTGAAATAATTAAGGATACAGCGGAGGATTAATTTTGTGTATTCTGTGGTAGCCATGTTTACTTTTATATCAATCAAGTAAAAAAAATATTTATTGGTTGAATTTGTTCACCTAAATACCTCAAACTAAATAACAAAACTAAAACGTCAAAAGCGTAGCCTATAATAATGCAAGTCTGTAAACAGTAATTAAACAATGGAAAATTTAAAATAAACTATTATGAATTTTTATCATTATTATGTTTTTATAATCTTCATATCATAAAAATATATTATCATTAGGCCTATTATTATTATTATCAAAGTTTAGAATTAGTAATAGTTTTGGTTTGCATTGTGATGTTGTCTTCAGTGTTTCTACCAGACTTTTTCTCCGGGGGGGGGGGGGGGGGTACTTGAAATTTTCGGGGGGGGGGGGGGGGGGTGCGGACTAAAATTTCGGGGGGGGGGCAGACACTGTTTAAAGTTTATATTTTCTATATGAATTCCATTTCGTCCCGGGGCGGTATACACTCTTCGTGGAGAGGTTTCTGGAAGAAACTCTGGTTATCTTCCTTTTAAACGTAAGATTTTTTTAAAGTATAAGAAAGACCTATCAAGAGGTAGCTAAGTGGGGGAAACGTTTATGTTTGCCTACAGTATAGCATTAGGGCCTACTATAATTTATTTTGAATAGCCCAGTGTGACATATTTGTAATAAGATTCCACTACAAATCATATCACTAGTAGGCCGATATAATCTTTTATTATAACTATACCTACTATTGCCTACTCTAGACCGTACCAGACTATAATGTCACTATAGGCTCATTATTAATTAAAGACTAATTATAATGTTATCATATTCGGCCTATTGCAAAAACATTAGGTCTTTCTCCTCCTAGGTTAAATCTGATAATTTTGGCAAACGAATTAATGTAATCAGTGTTTCTTCCAGACTTTTTTCTCCGGGGGGGGGGGGGCACTTGAAATTTTCGGGGGGGGGCGGTAGACTTTCTTCGGGGGGGGGGGGGCGGACACTGTTAAAAGTATATATTTTCTATATAAGTTATATAAATTTCCCCGAAGAGATGCCTGGAAGAAACTCTGAATGTAATTATTAGATTTCTGTCTTATTTGCTTTTTTTAATGGGCAAGGGGTAATATAACTAGATCTAGTACAAAGATGTACAACTTGTACTTGTACCATGCTATTATTATTTCGGCAAATAGAGTATTCTAGTGGTTTATAAAAAACAGTGAGTTTGTTTCAAGATGAAAAGGAAACAGATATTTTTTTAGTTTACATTTTTACTCGACTTATGAATGGTGACAACTTATTCGAAAACAGACACTCATAAAATTTTAAAAATATCATATTTTCAATAATTAAGAGGTAAACACACTGCAGATTCCCATAAACTTACACACTGTCACACTACTTGACTACTAATTTAACGATCTAGATTCTAGAGTAGATCTAGAATCTAGATCTAGAACTAGATCTCGAGGAGCTCGAGTTCGAGTCTGGCAATCTTCATTCAGTAGTCTAAAAAAATGACTTGACTTTTGACTAATAATGACTATTGACTCAGTATTGAGTCAGTTGTCTCATATTGACAATATTGAGTAGTAATAGTACAGTAGAACTTCTAGATTCTAGGCTACACACCTACATTCTAGTAGTAGATCTAGTAGTAGTACTAAAGTAGTACTAGACTTAACTAGACTCTAGACTATAGTAGTAGTAGTTAAGATCTAGATCTAGTTAGTAACTATACTACTAACTAGTGCAGGGGTCGGCAACCTTTTGATACGCAAGAGCCAAAAATTACAATTTACAAACTTTCCCAGTTTTTAAAGAGCCACAACATTTTTAGTTCAATATTCGGTATTTGATTAGGATTAGTAAATAAAGTTGATTTGTTATTTAAAATAAATAGCTTTAGGACCTAAATAAGAAATAATATTTATTCATATAAAAACATAGACATGTTTTGCCAGAATAGTAAAATTAGTAATCAAATAATATTATTCTAGAACTATCTCAATTTACTTTAGAAGCTGTTAATTTTTTTTTTCGTTACGGATATCACCGTCTCAGGAGGTGTCTCCCATTAGCCAGCCAGGCCTCAACACGGCAAACGCCGACTAACTGGCTTGGATATCGGTTTGAATAACTTGCATCGTTCGCTTCTATCCTTTGGTTCTCACCAGGCTTATCTTCCATCCCACTGAACTCAGGGTAAAGTCGTACCCCATCGTCCAGTACAAATGAATTTATATAACTATTAATATTTGTGCAAGGAGCTGGAGAGCCGCATCTGGACATCAAAAGAGCCGCATACGGCTCGCGAGCCGCAGGTTGCCGACCCCTGAACTAGTGGATTCTAATTGATGTTGAATCTATACTTTATTTTTTACTATACTATTGTTACTTACTGTACAGTACTAGAAAAAACTAAAAACTAAAAAAAGCTAGGTAATTGGTAGTCCCAAGCCTGAGTAGAAGTAGAGTACTAGATCTAGTTACACATTAGGGCTACTAAATTAAACATAAATGTATAGGCCTACCTTTATGCATTCTGTTGTGACTTTTCTTGTGAATTTTCTACTGCATGTTAATAATTGATCTACATTTTTTAAAATTCAGTGTAAGGCCTATCTGCTTGTAAAATGGTTCATTGTCAGGATAGCATGCTATGGCTGGCTATACGACCTGCAACTAGATAGTGTCCACTTATAAATTTTGATGAACCCAGAATGAATGAGTTTAATGACACTCATTCCGTGACAACCACCACATTATTTTAGTTACACTACACAAGTTTGTTTTAATTGTTGTTTCCTAATACAGTTTGTTTCAATGTTTATATATTTTTATATAGGGCCTAATCATTTTTTAAGATATTGGATTTAAAAAGCTAGAAAGAACAAACACTTATTTCATTCAATACATAAAAGGTTAAAGAAGAAAGAATGCAGCTATGATCTTTAAATTGAGCATTACATTACTCTCTCCACCAAATGTAATTTTTCTTCTAAAAAAAATTTTTTAAATTAGCAACCACAGGACAGAAAGTCAACTTTTAAAATTATCTGGCAAAAACATAATATCAAGATTAAGTTAAATTAGCAAAATTATTATAGTAATGGTCACTTCCAACTTTTGTTTGAAAGTTTACCTTTGGCCACTACAGACCTTTTTTTTTTAAAGTTTACCTTTGGTCACTATAAAATAGTTTGTCTGAAGGCTTTGGTCAGCACAGAACTCTTTGAGTATGGATTCAGCAGAACTAGGTGCGAGTAAATCAGTGGACAGCTCCACAGGCTGGGTTCATGATTCTGAAATCTCTTGCTGGGATGCTTCGGTAATTGTACCTTTGTCTGGCTGTTGTATCTAATTTTATGTGTTTTGTCTGGTTGTTTTATCAATTTTGCTGTTCTTGATCTTGGGTATAATTGACCAGTAATATGTATAAGGTAATACCTTATTGACAATATAAAATCAGCATTTGATAATTCAACTCAAAGTTTCACAAATATATATATGTATGTATATATATATATGTATATGTGTGTGTGTGTGTGTGTATGTGTAGAGAGTTATTTAAGTAGTTATTTACTTATTCATACACATAATCATATGTTTCCGTATTTGTATTTTAAAATGACCTCCCTTGTTGCAGATGGCTGGCGGAGAATCTAAAACAGACCAGGGTTCTCATAGATCTAAAGCACGTCTTGACTCAAGTGTTGGAGGGGCTACTCTCGGAGAGGAGATTATGTCAAAGCTCTCTAGAATTAATGGCGCCATCAATAAAATGTCTAAGGAACAAATGCAAACTAAACTTGCAGAGATTCATCTGAGCACAAGGTGTACCATTTTTTATTATTTTTATAGATTGCATAATGTAATGCACAGCAATATAACTTACTCATTCAGATTTATCTTGCTCATTTAGATTAAGGGTCATCCATTTACTCCATTTATAACATCCACACGGGGGGGGGGGGGGGGGGGAATCAAATTTAATAGACATGTGTGGACTGTGGATGTCCATATGTTGAACTGAACATCAAAATACTTACATTTAAAAAAAACAAGACCTAGGACATGATAGATCGTGCAACCAAATCATGGTAGGCCTACATCATTTAAATAATGGCACGTGGTGTGTAGGGCTCATAAGGAAAGGGGGGAGAGGTGGTTTTTTTTATGAAAACGTGTAGCGAGAAGTGTCCGTATGGTTCAGTAAAAGTTACGTGACGTCACGTTGATTAGCCGAAATTTACCCCAACGCATATAGTCATTAATAGATTAGTCTACATTTAACTTGCTCATTTAGATTAGTCTACATTTAACTTGCTCAATCAGATTTATCCACAAGTAAACTTAAAATTTGACATCCCAAAGTGGTAGTGGAAGTATTAATATATTTTTTAATCCAGCGGTGTTAAAGATGTTTTGAAGAAGCGGTTGAAAAACTACTACAAACGGCAGAAGCTATCTCAGCTAAACAAACCCCTACTAGAGGAGGAAAAAATGAAATACGACTACTTGGTGGTGATAGACTTTGAGGCAACTTGTAGTGAAACCAATGAAAACTTTGTTCATGAGATCATTGAATTTCCTGCTGTTTTAATTGATACAAAAAACAACGCTGTGGTATGTTTTAATTTTTAACCCTATCAGTCCTAGATTTTAAAGCACAAGAACATTAGTATTTAATGTGTGTAGTTATATTAATAGTATAAATATAGTGTATATATAACTATTGAGTTATTTATCATATATTGAATGGCCTTCAACCTTTGTTTCTGCTAATGCTACTTTTTGCTTCATCAGTGTAATGTGTTTCAAAGGTTTTGCAAGCCTAATGTTAACCCCATTTTGACTGACTTCTGCACATCTTTAACTGGCATCTCACAAGTGAAAACATTTTATATTTTTTACTTGTTAAGGGAAATAACCCAGACTGATAATAATTTTTCCTCATTTAAAAAATTTTCAACTGTATAAAAATATACCTTGTCACAGTATATTTGAAAAATTTGATGATTCATTAAGTGTGTTGTCAACTTACAGCAACAAGTAGACAAGGCCAAAGATTTTACCCAGGTGTTTGCGGAGTTTGAGGAGTGGATGGCTATACACAAGCTGGGCACAGAGCACGAGTTTGCTATTCTCACTGATGGGTAGGCTACATACATTGGTCCCTAGCCAAGTCAACTAAACTTTTCTTATGGTCCCTAGCTACTACATACATTGGTCCCTAGCCAAGTAAACTAAACTTTTCATATGGCTACATACATGGGTCCCTAGCCAAGTCAACTAAACTTTTCTTATGGTCCCTAGCTACTACATACATTGGTCCCTAGCCAAGTCAACTAAACTTTTCATATGGCTACATACATGGGTCCCTAGCCAAGTCAACTAAACTTTTCATATGGCTACATACATTGGTCCCTAGCCAAGTAAACTAAACTTTTCATATGGCTACATACATGGGTCCCTAGCCAAGTCAACTAAACTTTTCTTATGGTCCCTAGCTACTACATACATTGGTCCCTAGCCAAGTAAACTAAACTTTTCATATGGCTACATACATGGGTCCCTAGCCAAGTCAACTAAACTTTTCTTATGGTCCCTAGCTACTACATACATTGGTCCCTAGCCAAGTAAACTAAACTTTTCATATGGCTACATACATGGGTCCCTAGCCAAGTCAACTAAACTTTTCTTATGGTCCCTAGCTACTACATACATTGGTCCCTAGCCAAGTAAACTAAACTTTTCATATGGCTACATACATGGGTCCCTAGCCAAGTCAACTAAACTTTTCTTATGGTCCCTAGCTACTACATACATTGGTCCCTAGCCAAGTCAACTAAACTTTTCATATGGCTACATACATGGGTCCCTAGCCAAGTCAACTAAACTTTTCTTATGGTCCCTAGCTACTACATACATTGGTCCCTAGCCAAGTCAACTAAACTTTTCATATGGCTACATACATGGGTCCCTAGCCAAGTCAACTAAACTTTTCTTATGGTCCCTAGCTACTACATACATTGGTCCCTAGCCAAGTCAACTAAACTTTTCATATGGCTACATACATGGGTCCCTAGCCAAGTCAACTAAACTTTTCATATGGCTACATACATTGGTCCCCAGCCAAGTCAACTAAACTTTTCTTATGGCCCCTAGCTAAGTCAACTTGTCCTATGTCTACATGCGTTGGACTCTAGCTAATTAATATACTAATTTCCAAACATCTTATAACTATGACTTTTCATCAACAAATTCCTTTTTCCTTCAGCCCATGGGACATGGCCAGATTTTTAAAAACTCAAACTGAGCTAAGTGGCATTCCATTTCCTCGCTGGGCCAAACAATGGATCAACCTGCGCAAGGCCTACACAGCTTTCTACGCCTGTGGCCGCGTCAACCTTCATCAGATGTTGGAGGAACTGGGCATGAAGTTTCAAGGCCGGCCTCACTGCGGACTGGACGATGCTCGGAACATCGCAGCCATCGCCCTGCGCCTCTTGCAAGACGGCTGCATCATGAGGATTAATGAACACTACAGGGAGGGGGTGATCAGCCCTCAAAAATCCAACAGCTCGTCGCGGGGCAACCGGTCAGCTGGTTCCCACAGATCCCCCCCTAAATCCAGAATGACACAGAAACACGTGCAGAAGGACCAGGGCAGAGAGCCTTACAACGTCCATCAGGAGGGGGAGAACTTGAGTGACTTGATGGAGTACCTGAAGCTACAGAAGTCCTAGCTACAGCCACTGAGTTCTGGTTCCTGAATAATGCTAAACAGACGCGGGCAGGCCCTTATGCAAAGGATTTAACATCCTTTGAGAAGATTTTAAACAGTTGTAATTAGTTTTTATATTATACCAACACAGTTTGTAATGGTGGTTGGGGAAGGGGGGTGTGACAAATCTAAGGATGTTCTGGGGTTTATTTTCATAGAATTTTGAAGAAATAAATAGATTTTTATTTAACTGTATGATAGGTGACTACATGAATATCTCTTAGAATCATTGCTTGTGTCTCTTCTCACATCAAGACATGAATTAGATCTTGCTGGCTAATGTTAATAGCTCTCTTAATACCAACATCCAACACATTGTTTTCATCTTCTTATGTTGGATACAAAGATACAACTCAACAAATTTCATGACATCATTCAAACATACAATTGATATGAAAGACATTCAACTCAACAAATTTGATCACACCTTTAAATACGCCCACCAAAAGGGCAAACAGCCAACATCCAATGAAGTGAGACAGGCCTGTTTGCTGATTACAGGAAAATTTGAGACAAGTCTGGATGGATTTTGGATTTGATCAAATTTTTCAAGGGAAGCAATTTAAGATTTTCTCAGGTTCAAACTTCATGAGTAGGACTAGTCTTGTGAATAATGGTAATCTTTGAGTCACCAGTTTCCAATGGTGATCTTTGAGTCACCAGTTTCCAATGGTGATCTTTGAGTCACCACTTCTCTAATGGTGATCTTTGAGTCACCAGTTTCCAATGGTGATCTTTGAGTCACCAGTTGTCTGATGGTGATCTTTGAGTCACCAGTTGTCTAATGGTGATCTTTGAGTCACCAGTTGTCTAATGGTGATCTTTGAGTCACCAGTTGTCTAATGGTGATCTTTGAGTCACCAGTTGTCTAATGGTGATCTTTGAGTCACCAGTTCTCCAATGGTGATCTTTGAGTCACCAGTTCTCCAATGGTGATCTTTGAGTCACCAGTTCTCCAATGGTGATCTTTGAGTCACCAGTTGTCTGATGGTGATCTTTTAGTCACTAGTTCTCCAATGGTGATCTTTGAGTCACCAAATTCTTATGGTGATATTTGAATCACCAGTTGTCTAAAGGCCATCAAACAATGAAGTCCCCAGTTGTTTAGTGAAAGTGATAAAATTGTTTTAATCCTCAGGGTTACATGAAATGTTTCACTTTTTTCTCCATCATTAAAGTAGCTTATAATTACACTTTAATTATTTTTTTTACAAAGAAGTGGTGTGAGAGATCAATATTATTTCAATACCAAGTAATTATTATGTCTGTTTTAACAATAAATTTTGTTTACAATTTTATACATTTGTGTTTGTGAGCAAGAAATGTGTTTATAACAATAAATCTTTGATCACAGCAGGTTAAAGTGAACAGGATAGTGTGTGTGTCGTCGTCCCCACACATATATGTATATATAAATATATATATATATATATATACATATATATATATATACATAATATATATATATATACATATATATATATATACATACATATATATATATATATATATATATATATATATATATATATATATATATATATATATATACTAGCCGGCCAGGCCCTGCACTGGCATCTCTGAAAAACGTATCTGTAAAGGACCATAACTTGTGTGTTTAGTAATTAGCATTTACCCGGCATTGCCCACCCTAACCGCAATCAACCAAAACACACAAAAAACGCAAACATAACACAAAACAAACACAAACGAAAACACAAAAACAAACGCAAAGAAAAACCCAACCACAAACACAAAGAAAACACTAACGCAAACAAATCCAAACACAAACCCAACCACACCAAAAAAAAACAACGCAAACATAATACAAACGAAAACAAAAGCAAAAAAAAAAGCAAACGAAAACAAACCCAAACACAAAGAAAACACAAACGCAAAGATAGACTCAAAGTGTCCGCAGTCTAGCCCGGGGCGCCAAATCGCACCATGACTTAATCAATCCCCCCTAATTATGAAATTTTTTTCCTAACACCAAAACAAAGTAATAAACAGTAAATTCTTTCTCCCCCCGATTTAATGGTTTTTAAAGGAAAGTAACTGTGTTTTCCAAATAAAGTCAAAATGCAAATACATTTCAGACACAATTTTAGAAATTTTATAAACGTTGATACACTTTTTTTTAATTTTATGTAATGTTCATAATTGAAAATTATCATTCTAAGTATATAAAATGAAAATTGTTTTTAAAGACTTTAAATAGTAATTTTTTAACTCATAAATTTAGACCATGAATACTTTAATAATCTAACACTTGAATCGTTTTTCGTTTATTTTTCTTATATTCCTTTGTAATCCACGACAAATATTTTACAAACATACATACATACAGAATTGAACTTTATATATTAGATGTATATAGATATATATATATATATGTATAAAAGTGTGCGTGTTTGAGTTGAGATGGTAGGTTACATCAGCTGCCAATTAGTTAGTCCAGTTTTTATGGTATTTTTTTGGACTATTTTTAACGTGATATATTATGTAGATAGATACAGTAGCCTTCATTTTTGTAACCTAAACATAATCATACTGGTTATATAGACTGTAAGAAGCTTTTGACTTAGACAGGAGCATGTAGGGTTAGAAAAGCCAACTCCTGCACAGTTCATGTTGAAACCCTTTGGATTATCCTAGATCAGGCCTGTAACGTACTTTCCATTGTACGAGCTTTTGACAGATTTTGAAAAGCACTTGATAGTATAGACTTAGACAGAGCAGTAGTAGGGAAACGTGTAACGCTCTACTGAGGTGCAGAATTTTTTATTTAATTTATCCAATAACTGTACCACCACTTAAAATGCTAAGTGATACACAATGGCAAACTATCAGAAACATAATAGTAAAAGCTGGAGTTGACATGGGTATTTAGGTGACTGGTTGTTGACATGGGTATTTGGGTGACTGGTTGAGTGAGTAATGAACAAACGACAGGAAACAAACCAACTGAAATCTAACGGACACAAGCACTTGGATCGGGCAAGTGTGCTCTACCTTCTCGCACATAGTCATGAACAAAGACAACAAAATTTCAAAAACTGCTGGCTGAAGAAGCGATAAAAACCATCTCGTGATACAGACCAAGAAGTTCACATTAAAATCAGCAACCATAAAATGTTTTTAACTTTCTAAACCAGTATAGAATTCAATAACATCGCCAAGAAAACTAAATCATGATGTAATGTGAAGTCTGTTTTAATAAAAACAGGGTTACAGGCAGCGGAAAACGAAACAAGAGAATGGAAAAGAAAATACACTCAAACCCATTTAATAACAATTAACACGACTAGGTATGTGTTGGTGTAGAGTTTTAAAAATCCTGAAGGAAATCGTTTGAAAGAGATGGAGGAGGCTGGATTGTCAGGGGCTAATCAAGTTAGTTGACAAAGTGTTGACTAGGCCTACGCTTTCTTTGTTGAAAAGAATAAAAAGAAAAAATTCAGAAGAGGGTGGTTCGTAAAATGTGCAAGCTAATTTGGTCCATTTTTCTTAACTTTGTGCTTAATTCAATACTTTAGTTTAATACTAGCTTTTTTATTTATTTTTTCTTGGGGTGTAAAACTACTTTTCTTTAAAATAGTCTTCTTGTGTAAATATAAGTCTGACGCTAAACGCCATATAAACAACTGTTGTAAATACTGCGCCACTGCCCAATGATTGCGTGCCTCCTACTGAGGGCCTGCCAAATTGGCATTTGTTCCATCCTGTCCCTACCTATCCCGGCCTGCCAAATTGGCATTTGTTCCATCCTGTCCGTGCCTATCCCGGACCACGTCAACAAAATTCTTTACAACCCCAATCTGGTTATTAGTGACGTCAGAAATCAAAGTCAAGCGTATCGAATTCTCGTTCCTTATCCCGCGGCATAACTGCGCTTGAGAAGATAGGCGTGACGTCAAGGTGTGTCCCCACAGTCACCTGTGTTTAGGGTCTCTGGGGAACTAAAAATAGAACTGTTGGGATAGGAATTTGAGACCTACCCTGTCTCAGCCTACAAAATAGGAGAGGTGATGAATATTTGACTGATTAAAACAATGGTGATCTAATACCTAAACTTAGAGGTGTGGTCGATACCTTTACGCTTTATTCAACTTTAAATATAGCTTTTATTAAAACAATTATAAATATTTCGATCTGCTTTTTAATAAACATTTTAAAATATCTTTTAAGCAAATGTAATACATCTGTAAATAAAACTTTTAAATGCGATGTTTGATGCAACTTGAAATCCAACTTTAAATCAACGACATTTATTAACGAGTGACTTCAGACTTCATGTTGGTCAGCTGATAATAACGTCAGCTAGCTGCCAGATTGAGTGTCAGTGTCACTACACTCGTGTCATTGCCAAGAAATGGATTGCTCTGCTGAAGCAGAGATCCCCCCCCCATCAACACAGCTATCAACACATCATACAGCCAACACACAGCTATCAACCCATCATACAGCCCATACAGCTATCAACCCATCATACAGCCCATACAGCTATCAACCCATCATACAGCCAACACACAGCTATCAACCCATCATACAGCCAACATACAGCTATCAACCCATCATACAGCCCATACAGCTATCAACCCATCATACAGCCAACACAGAGCTATCAACCCATCATACAGCCAACATACAGCTATCAACCCATCATACAGCCAACACACAGCTATCAACACATCATACAGCCAACATACAGCTATCAACCCATCACACAGCCCATACAGCTATCAACCCATCATACAGCCAACACACAGCTATCAACCCATCATACAGCCAACACACAGCTATCAACACATCATACAGCCAACACACAGCCAACACACAGCTATCAACACATAATACACCCCATACAGCCAACACACAGCTATCAACCCATCATACAGCCAACACACAGCTATCAACCCGTCATACCCCCCCCCCAATCAACACACAGCTATCAACCCGTCATACCCCCCCCCCCAATCAACACACAGCTATCAACCCGTCATACCCCCCCCCCCAATCAACACACAGCTATCAACCCGTCATACCCCCCCCAATCAACACACAGCTATCAACCCGTCATACCCCCCCCCCCCAATCAACACACAGCTATCAACCCGTCATACAGCCAACACACAGCTATCAACCCATCATACAGCCAACATACAGCTATCAACCCATCATACAGCCAACACACAGCTATCAACCCATCATACAGCCAACATACAGCTATCAACCCATCATACAGCCCATACAGCCAACACACAGCTATCAACCCATCATACACTCCATACAGCCAACATACAGCTATCAACCCATCATACAGCCCATACAGCCAACACACAGCTATCAACCCATCATACAGCCAACACACAGCTATCAACCCATCATACACTCCATACAGCCAACACACAGCTATCAACCCATCATACAGCCAACATACAGCTATCAACCTATAATACAGCCAACACACAGCTATCAACCCATCATACAGCCAACATACAGCTATCAACACATCATACAGCCAACATACAGCTATCAACCCATCATACAGCCAACACACAGCTATCAACCCATCATACAGCCAACACACAGCTATCAACACATCATACAGCCAACACACAGCCAACATACAGCTATCAACACATAATACACCCCATACAGCCAACACACAGCTATCAACCCATCATACAGCCAACACACAGCTATCAACCCATCATACAGCCAACACACAGCTATCAACCCATCATACAGCCAACACATAGCTATCAACCCATCATACAACCCATACAGCCAACACACAGCTATCAACCCATCATACAGCCAACACACAGCTATCAACCCATCATACAGCCAACACACAGCTATCAACCCATCATACAGCCCATACAGCCAACACACAGCTATCAACCCAACATACAGCCCATACAGCCAACATACAGCTATCAACCCATCATACAGCCAGCACACAGCTATCAACCCATCATACAGCCAACATACAGCTATCAACCCATCATACAGCCAACACACAGCTATCAACACATCATACAGCCAACACACAGCTATCAACCCATCATACAGCCCATACAGCCAACATACAGCTATCAACCCATCATACAGCCAACACACAGCTATCAACCCATCATACAACCCATACAGCCAACATACAGCTATCAACCCATCATACAGCCAACACACAGCTATCAACCCATCATACAGCCAACACACAGCTATCAACCCATCATACAGCCAACATACAGCCAACACACAGCTATCAACACATCATACACCCCATACA